GTGTGTGTGTGTGTGTGTGTATGTGAGTATGTGTGTCCGTGTGTGTGTGTGTGTGTGTGTGTGTGTGTGTATGTATGTATGTGTGCGTACGTGCGTGTGTGGCATACTGTCAAGTTTCACATTCTGAGTTTTCCATCCAGGAGGGCAATTGAATCCCCAAAGGATTTTTCAGATAGCCTTCTTTTTGACACCCAAAGCTCCATGAGTCAGCAGGCTGGAAGAGCATGACGTGGAATAAGCTGAACACTGTGGAACCGGCTTTTGTTTGTTAAGAACATTTTAATGTGAACCTTTACACTTTACAGTATCACTAGATGTCTGAAGCGATTTGATGGGACGAATGTTGGATGATAATGATGAAGGATTGAGACTTTTTCAGGCACATTTTGTCTTGCATTGTGTTTTGCCATCTTCATTATAAGTAAACATTCAATTAATGTGTGGGTAAGTAATGTCACGGATACTTCCCTGTCGTACACACACTATTGGGCATTCTTCTGTCTGTCGGGACAAAATATGGCTGGATGCTGGATGCTATTATCGCACAGTACGCCACTGTAATACATATAATAAATACATATAATAAATGTAATAAATGTAATAATTATTGTTTGCTTGTTTATGTGATGGTGCAGGTGAAGGACGTGATGAGGAATGTGATGGAGGATCTCGGCCAGACCAATCTGGAGCGAACTCTTCTCAGCTGGTGTCAGCTCTCCACGCAGGGGTCAGTGATTGTTGCTGTTGTTGTTGTTGTTGTTGTTGTTGTTGTTTATGTTGTCGCTACTGAGACAGAGCCAGACAGCAAACACAAGAGGGGAAGTCCTGGTGCACGTGTACACTTGTGGACATGAGACCTGTGGATAGATCTATAGAGCATTCTCCAAGAACTCCTGATCCTCTCTTCTTTGTTGACTTCCTCTCTGGTGTTTCTGTCTGTCTGTCTGTGTTACTTTTCCCCAGCACTAAATGACCACCAATTCTTGTGTCCATGTGCTTCTCTTTCCTCAAACAAACAAAACTCTGGAAGAAGGGCAACTTGCCTCCCTTGGTTAGAAGTGCTTGTCTCAAAACTTGGTTATTTCCCTTGGGCTGTGAACTGAACAGGGCTGTTACGTTTTCTTCAATAATTATAGTGTGTGTGCGTGTGTTTGTTTGTTTGTTTGTTTGTGTGTGTGTGTGTGTTTCTGTGTGTGTACGTGTGTTTGTATGTGTGTGTACATGTGTGTATATGTGTGTGTGTGTGTGTGTGTGTGTGTGTGTGTG